AGAAACCGGGATTCCTACCAGAAACACATGACACACTCAAATGAGGATGGTCTGGGGAGGGTTTATTCACAAAAGTCTGTTCGCAGGAGTCCGGGTACAGGAAAATCCCCAGTGCTGTCACGTGAGAATGTTGAGCTGGTGACACATTCACATCCTAAGTCCAAGAACACAAAGGAGAGGGGTAGTTATTGGAACTGAAAAGGAGAGTTATCCAGTGACATTGGCTTTGATAAATGACCTTCCAAGAACAGTACAAGAAGCCCTGTGGGATGCAGCAGAGAGGTCAACTCATTCCTTGTCCAGTTCTCCAACTCAACAGGAAGCTCAGAAGTACAGCAGCCCAATTGCCTCTGTTAACACACCACCTTCAGCAATCTACCTTAAGATAGCAAGAAAAAGGATTGCATCAAATCACCTGCAGTAGATTCCCCAATGGTTGAATCTACCTGAAAGCCAGAGGGCAGACATACTGGAGCCATCAGATAACTTATGAATGAGTCAGTTTCCTGGACCAAAGGCCAGTTTAGGCAAATGGAGGCTCAGGAAAGCACTCATGGTCAAACATCTGTATCTACATAAGCTGCTTACACAGATGTGTTCACATACAAAACATGGGAAACTTTCACAAAGGCATTTTCCCAGGAAAGCCTCACTTCCTGGGTATCTTTCGCACTCAGAATCCTCACTACCCAATCCTTGAATGCCCAGCATCTGACAAGCTGTGAGTGATTATCTGCAAATTGAAAAAGTGAACTTTTTGAACACTTGTTCCTTTACATGTATTTTCTCATTTAATCTTCAAAATGATCCTCTGAGTCATAAATCATTATCTATGTTTAAAGATTATTTAAGACTCAAATAGTTCAAAAATACTGTATAGACAATAGAAGGTGACTCCCTGAACCCAGTAGCTGGTGATTTTGACTCTAATGCCCCATGCATCCCACATACTGATCATTGTTTATATACAACACTTGAGCTCTTTAATCCAAAATAGGTCATCAACTTTCCAGCAGAGAGCAGGGCAGGTAGAATAGTTGGCTAAAAATATAAATAAGAACAGTTGACTAAAAATTGCTCAGGATCTAATGTCTCTCTGGTAGATCATTAAAGAGAAAATCCCCGAGGACAAAAATTGGTAATTAGAAAGGGGTTGATGTCTAGAAAGAAAAGGCAACAAAGAATGTGAACACCACTCTGTTTATCCCACTGTCTGCTCCTGTTCCGTGTCTGTGGACTTCACACCTGATGTTTACGCCTTCTGGAATGTCTGCAGAGACATAGAGCCTCACACTAGTAATCTCACATGCCTTCGGTCTCACCTTACTTACTGGAAGTCCGCCGTGAGGCAGCAACGTGCAGTGAGCAGCTCAACGTGTGAATGAGCAGGCGCACGAACTGACCCCGAGGGTCAATGACTCCTCTGGTTGCACCTGCCTTTGTACACGTGTGCTGTCATCATAAAATTTTATCACACCTACTCAGGGAGGAGGAGGCTGCTCTCAAGGTTTACATCTTGATAGCAAGAAATGAGTCAGGGACTTGGGAAAGCATAATTCAGAGGAAATTGGAGAGGGGATGTGCTGTCAGACTCTAGGGATCTGTTTTCCTAGAAAACAAACAGGACCCAAATCTGAGTGAACCTTTGCTTTGAAAGGCCTGCACGCAGGCATCCACACCGCAAGCAAACCCCCCTTGTCTCTGTAGTGAAAAGGATGAACAACACAAGGCTTTCATTTTCCCAGAGGCAAAAATGTCCACGTGGAGATGAGCAGCACAAGGCATATAAAGCTATGCACTCTGCTGCTCTTTTTGAAGATGGACCCACCGCCCTCCTGTAGACATTCGATGCTTTCTTTTTTAGGACAAGGCTAGAAACCTCTAAAAACAGAAAACAAAGACATAACTTCCAGGGTTGGGCAGGCACTCCCTGAGCCAACAGGGAATCACTAGCAATCCTTTTATTTTTAACTCAGATTCCACAGTTGTCACAAACATTCTCCTAGCTTCTTGCATTTCCACGCTGAGGTCTACAGAACTTCTCTGCGATTGTTCTCTTTACTCAGCCAGCCTTCCCGGCCTAAGCTGTGAAACCATTTCAGACAGCTAACTGGATAAAGAGCTTAAAATAGTATGACTTTTGTTCTTTATCAACTAAAAATTGCCAACCAGGAGCTAACTTGAGCTTTGGGTGTATACAGGAACTATTTTTGAGTAATTTATATTCTCTTTGCCATCTGTGAAATATTTTAATTCAGAATAGCAAAAGATATTCTGATTATGGAGTTTTGTTTTTAAACTAGAATAGCTGGAGCTCTTTAAAACATTAAATGAGCTGGATGTGATGGCACACGTCTGAATCACAGCTTTCAGGAGATGAAGTTAAGAAGACCAGGTGTTCAAAGCCAACGTAACAAGTTCAAGACTATCCTAACCTATGCCACATGGGATATTGTTCCCAAAAAAAAAAAAACCCAAAAAATTAAATTAATAAATTATTTTGAAGTTGAGAGTTTATAAACTATCTGAAAATTAAGGACAGATGAAAATAATCCATCTTCTAAAATTAATCTATAATCTTAACATTGAGCAGCATTTATATTATGACCAGCAGGCAGACATATAGGAAATATGTGGTTCCATGAAAGAGATTCTAGTGCAAGTTAGAAGCGCAGGGTTTGAGCAACGTCTCTACCAAAAATCACCTGGAAAAATGAAAAATTATCACTGAAACTGCTATGCTGTTAATCCCTTCTCTGTAAAGTGAACGGCTGAACTAGCACACGGTTTTCAGATCCTGACTTAAAGCTCACTCAGCAGCCACAGGGGAGAGTCAGCGGCTGTTACTGGGGATGGTGGGCGGTCCGCCATCTGGTCTACCACCACCTCTACCACCGCTATCATCTCCGCCAAAATAGCTCTGTGTTTTCAGATTTTTTTGTGAGACTGCTTGAAGATCTCTTCTAAACTCTTGAACACTATTGACTACAATATGTTTCCTACATATTTGACTACAATAAATTTCTGTGTGAAATTTATTTCCATTGGCATGAGAGACTGTCTCTTTAATGGTAGCAAAAACCATTTCTCTTGAATATAAGTGAAATATGTTTTTAAAGTAGTGTGTGAGATAATTACCTCATTTTAGTCTATGAAAATGGGCAAACTCTGCTGGACTGATTTCAAGAATCATCTTTGTTTTGATGCTCTGCCCCTTACATTTGAACACTTTAAAGAGTTCTAAGTCCTTCAAAGTAAGCACATGAGTACATGACTCCTCCCTTCTTTCCATGTCTGAACTTCAGTCGATTAAAGCTGCCTTGACTACAGCAACCAGGCAAGTCTGCACAGGAACGCCGAATGCAGAGAGACATGGAATAGAAGGTTAAATCCCTGGGGAGGAGCCCCAAGGAAGTGTATTTATGACATCATTCCACAAAGAGCTCCTGTAATTAGTGGGACTCAAAGACAGAAGGACCCTGAAATCCAGTCCTCAAACTGGGAGTAAAGAAATGAGTAAGTTGAAGATAATGACAGAAGTGCCAGAAAAGCAGAGTCAAAACACAAGAGAGTTGAGGCTTGCTAACGCATGAATTTCTCATAACATTAAATTAAGTAACTAATTAATTTTTAAGAGAATGAATTTCCCAAGTAAAGTGTTCTGTGTAATATAATTTTCAGGTCTTCCATACTTTTTTGCACTGATGGTATGGGTGTGTGTCTAGTGTGTGTATGGTGTCTGGGAGGGGTTTGGTGTGTGTACATACGTGTGTGTGTGTGTGTGTGTGTGTGTGTGTGTGTGTGTGTGTGTGTGTGAAGCCATGATGGACAGAGGAAGAAAGCTTTTTGTCTGTTAAAATCCAAACATGTCATCTTATTCCCTAAGAGCACAATGTAATGTCAATTACTCTGACATTTCAATGCTTTGGATGTAATAAGGACTATAATCACTTCGTGACATTTGTTTGGGTAAAAGATGTCCTCATGCCACATAAAACTCTTAAAATGAATTTTTAAGCTATGTTGTAATTATAGTTCTATTACCCTTCAGTATATACTATTTTAGTAAAATAAATATATTTTATATTGTTAGAAATTTTTCTTGTCTGTTTAAACTTTTCTAAAAAATGTTATGCCTTGTATGATAATTCCAGATTTTCATAAAACATGAACTAGAAAGGTTTTCTACCACTTCCTTAAATTCTACCTTCAAGATAAGAAAAACTTTATAATAGTCAAGGTCTAACGGACCCTTACATTCATATAAAAAGATGGATTTGAAAGACATTTGCCCTCATATTTGGGTCTCAGAAGCCTTGATCTGTGGCCTCCAATCAGTCCCATAGTGAAAATAAGATCATATTGCCATAGTTCTCAACTGGAACATTCACAAAGCATTAGTCATAGCTTTTGCAAATTAGAATAAACCATAGTGGGTTTTGGCAATTTATACAATTTGCCTAAAAGGAAATGCCATTGTTCTCACTGTTATTAACAATAGAGTCTTTGGAAAAAAGACATAAATCACTTTGACATAAGAGAGGGAATAAGAAAATTGGCCAGCAACTGAGTGATCTGTACCATGAATGGAGATAGCTTAATGTTTTGTTGGGTCATATTTCCTTAGCCAAAGAAGCTGGGGGTAGAATAGATATTTATCTATAAAATCACAGAAATGGTATTGGTCTCTGTGGTGGTTTGACTAAAAATGACTCCCATGTGTCCATAAGGAGTGGCACTATTAGAAGGTGTGGCCTTGTTGGAGCAGGTGTGACTTTATCAGAGAAGTGCATCACTAGAGGATGGGCTTTGTGGTCTCAGAAGCTCAAACCAGGCCCAGTGGTCTTTCTGCTGCCTGCCAAGCCAGGTGTAGAACTCTCAGCTATCTTTCCAGCACCGTTTCTGCCTGCATGCCACCATGCTTCCTACCATGATGATAATGGACTAAACCTCTGAACTGTAAGCCAGCCCCAATTTCCTTTATAAGAGTTGCCTCGGTCCCTCTCTTTCCGGTGGAAGAGTCTGGAAACAACATTCAGAAATGGCACTTCACAAGGGGAAGGAAAAGAAGGAAGAACAGGTCATCAGCCTTGGGCCTCAAGTGGCTGAGGGAGAGAATGTATTTGGTGTCTGCCACATCTTCGTATCCTTCAATGGCACCTTTGTCCATGTTACCGATTTTTCTGGCAAGGAAACCATCTGCCGGGTGACTGGTGGGATGAAGGTAAAGGCTGACAGAGATGAGTCCTCTGCGCATGCAGCTGTGTTGGCTGCCCAGGATGTGGCCCAGAGGTGCAAGGAGCTGGGCATCACTGCCCTGCATATCAAACTCTGTGCCACGGGAGGAAACAGGACCAAGACCCCTGGACCTGGAGCCCAGTCAGCCCCCATAGCTCTTGCTCAATCAGGGATAAAGATTGGGCAGATTGAGGATGTCACCCCCATCCCCTCTGACAGCACGCGGAGGAAGGGTGGTCACTGTGGTCGCTGTCTGTGAATAGGACTTCTCAAATTATTTTCTGTTAATAAATTGCTTTGTATAAGCTTAAAAAAAAAAGAGTTGCCTTGGTCATGGCATCTCTTCCCAGCAACGGAAGCCCTGAAACAGTCTCCTTAGTTCCTTCTGCAAATGTGGAAGTTATCAGTGTTTGCTTGTTTGTCTTAGCCACACTGGGATCAGGCCCCAGGTAGATTCTCCGACACAAAGCTAAGGCTCAACCCTTATACTTTTCTCTTAATCATGTAATGCTTCACAAAGATAATGCATGCATTGGACCCCAGAAGTCAAATCCATTATGGACTATCACCTCGATCCTACATGTGGTGCATTCATTTTGAATGGAAGGAAACACTAAATTCAACCTTTTTCCTTGAATTAAATGTATCTCAATACTTAAAAAAGGATAGTCTGAATAGACTGTGTAGAAACTACTCAGAGCAAACCATAATGAAATTTGGTAATATGTCAATTTCAGCATTTCATAGTTCTGGGTGATTCTGCTATACAAGTATACCTTTAGTTATGTATCATATACGTATGTTTAATTTGTGTGTGTGTGTGTGTGTGTGTGTGTGTGTGTGTGTGTGTGTGTGTGTATCAGATGTATTTATTTAAATGTCCTTCAGGCAGTGGTGGCACAAGCCTTTAATCCCAGTACTTGGGAGGCAGAGACAGGTGGATCTCTGTGAGTTCAAAGCCAGCCTGGTCTACAGAGAGTTTCAGGACTGTTATACAGAGAAACCTTGTCTTGGGGGAGGGGGGGGAGAAAAGAGGAGGAGGAGAAGGAGGAGAAGAAGAAGAAATGAGGAGAAATGTCCATCCACATTTCATAGCAAAAATTATGGAGTGTATTTGAATGTTTGATCTCAGAGTTCTCCAAAAAAGAGGGAATTTTGAATGCAGTAATCTTTTGGGGGGTTTTGTACAAAAAACACCTGTCAGAGAATGAGAGAAATAATAGGTCAGCATAAGACACTGAGCTTCACCACACTGGCAACGGAAGCCTCAGGAGATCCCAGAGTGGGTTCTGGAGCTAGGCAGGACCACAAGGAACACCAAGCCTCCACTGTTCTCCACTTCATCCACCAGCACCAGCCAATATGTGCCTTCTCAGAGGGGATGTAATTAGAGCAAATAGTGCTTTAAAAAACACTCAAAGCTTTCACTGTTGATAAAGTAAGAGGCTGATCAAAATGGCATTTGGATATCACACCACAGCCTCCATTATAGTGATGATATCTTTACAAAGCCTACAATTTTTTTTTCAAATGGAATTTACATTTATTTTGTATAAAATGGTTTAAATTTGAACAATCTGGAATAAATACACCAAGATCTATTTTAAAAACTAACATGAAATAAAATTCAGAGACGGAATTGACACAGCATGTAATATATCTATAATCTCAGGACCCAGGAGACTGAGGCAGTAGTATTGTTGAGAGTTCAAAGCCAGTATGGATTGTATAGTTAGTTGAAGGCCAATCACAGTACAGTGTGAGACTGTCTCAGAAAAAAAATTCAGTCATCTTTGGCATCATGACAACTTCCACAAAGCCATATCTCTGGACCTCTGAACTTTAAGATCATTCTGAGGTACTTATCTCTGAGTCACTTAGTAAGGACATTGAAAAAAAATGTTCTCTAAGAGCTTTATAATCCTAGTGACCTGATTTCCAAATAAGGAAGTGGGCGGAAGAGATAGAAAAAGCAGTGTGTGTGTTCTAGTCAAATGAAGATAAGGAGTCTCAAGAAACCGCATGGCGTTTGGGGGCTGTGATGGCGGTGGCTTTGGTCAGCTGTACAAGGGAGTAATATTTGTATTAATTAGGAGTTCCTGTCCTTCAGTCTTTCCTAATACTATGCACAGCTCTATATAGGGCTGTGGGTGGCCTTTGGCTTCTAGGCCCAATAAGAACAAAAGCCAATAAAAGAGAGTCTAAGAATAAGAACAAAAGCCAGGCTCAGCTCCATGTCTGTAACCTCAGTGCTGAGGTAGACAGAGATAGGTGGATCACTGGATCTATTGGCTAGCCAGTCTAGGCAAATTGGTCAGTCTTAAGTTCACTGAGAGACCCTGTCTCGAGAGAGAGCACACACACAATTGAGGAAGACTGCTGACCTTGATCTCTAGCTTCCAAGTATACCCATATGCACATACTCATATGTGCACAAACCCATACAAATATACACATCAAACACATAGGTAAGAACAAATATACTAGGAGTTAATGGTTTGGTTTTTATTTCAAGATGACATAATTTCTTAACTCATTCCATAATCTCGGAGCAAAAACATCTGTAAGTGAGGCATGCACTAAAATAAACCATTTCAATGACATCATCTTTATGCATCATATACATACACACAGGAACCTTCAAAGAATGCTAGCATTCAAAGTTTGGGGAATTCATCACAGCAAAAATAGTACTTAATTTTCTTTTAAAAGTCATAAATTGAAGAGCTCAGAATACAACTTGATGCCAGGGTGCATTTTTAGCATGGAAGAGATCCTGAGTTCAATACCCGGGACTAAAATATGTCACAGTCATGAAGCAATTTCCTTGACAAATGGGATCTCTATTCCCACCAAATACAAGAAGATGAGTCTATTGAACAAAGAAAACTGAAATTTTGTCTGGTTTGTATTGGAGTGGGATCTCTATACATTCCCCCAGGAGTCTCCAAATAGCTTCTTCTTTTCTTTATGGTCATTTGAGCCCTGGAGCATACACTGCAGTCCCAGATCTGCCTGTCTGGAGCCTTTCCAGGTCAAAAACTGGATTTCCTATCTCTGAGTGACTTACCCTCCAGAATACAGACATATACACAGACATAGACACAGACAGATAGACAGGCAGGCAGGCAGGCAGACAGACAGACAGACAGACAGACGCGCACATGCACGCGCGCGCGCACACATACACACACACACACACACACACACACACACACACACACACACCACAAAAGAAAGACTAATAAATCTTCTCAGCAGTTAAACCACACATCTCTGCCAGCCAATGAAACTAGGCACCCCACTGAACTGGCCATGAGAGCAGGCACTCCACTGGACTGACCAGTCCATTCTCTCTTCTCTGCAGAGCTACATGGAACCCAAGTCATCACGCTGTCACCAGGTGGACACAGAACATCATTTAGACATTCACTGGAGTCTGACTCAACCTGACAGGCACAGGCTGCAATCTACATGTTTGGAATTTCTGAGAAGTCAGCAGGAAACTTCCAGAGCTGCCAGGGTTTCTCTCCCCTGGATAAAGAGTTCTTTGATGGAATTTGGCAATAACAAGGCAATTACTCTTTTCTACAATTCTGTGAACAGGCCCAGGTATAGCTGGTAGTTGAGTTTATATAACCTGTGAGTCTCTATGGGGGGGGATACAAAATTAAACATGAAACTGATTACTTATTTAGGATAGCAACATAAATCACAAGCATTTATAATTTTAGAAAATAGGAAAATGCCAGAAGCCTCACAAAATCCATGGATACCACATATTTGTATGCATGTTGGAATAAACCAGCAGCCTAATTCACTATTTTACACAATTTTAACTTACCCTTCTATGGCTATAATTTTGCACAATTATTTTCTCCAGAGAACAGCGAGTTCTTTTCTGTTTACCATAGCACACCAAAAATTATTAGAGATGTTTAGACAAACATGTTTCTATCAGATGAAGCAGCACGCATCTGAATCCCAGCAGCTGGAAGGTGGGGCCTAAAGGATCAGGAGTTCAAGGTCAGCCTGAGTTAGATGCTAATGAGGTGAGTTTGAGAGGTCTATGATGTCCTCTCTCGTCCCTTCTTTAGTACTCAAGTACAACAGAGGACTATTGAAGAGCAATAGGGGTCATGTGGAGAGACCCAGCCCTGCAATGCCACTTTCAAAGCCCTGTGCTCCTCCAGGTGTTCCGGCAAGAGCAGCAGCAACAGCATTATCCCCCTCTCTACCCAGCATGCCCTGCATTCCTGCAACCAGGAAGTGCACAAGACTGCCACGCACCCCGGTCATAGCCCCCTGCAAATCAGGGTGCACTCTCTGGTACAGATGTTTTCTTAGAGGTCAAGTTTAGACCCAATATGTTTCTAGGCCACAAGTTCACTACTTAGGAAATTACAGATAGAAACAGGGTGAGGAGACAGGGGCCAATAATGTGGGGATTTATCAAGGCAACTCCACTTAGTTAAAAAGAAGGGTTTTTGGGGGGAGGGTTAACTTACAGCCAATAAAGGGATTGGTTACGGGATCCAGGAGAGGTGAGGTACAGTCCAGCAGGTTTCTCTGGGGAACTCTGACTCAGTCTGTCTTCCAGCATCCAGGATCACCAGGAACCAAGAGAGCCAGGACATCTTGATCTCGAATCTTAGAAGCTCCCGTCTTGGCCCGCCCCAGGGGCATGTCATAGGTAGATGTGGCAGTTACCAGAAGCCTCACTAGGCTCACTATACCTCCAGGTCAAAGCTGGAAGAGCTACCCACTACAGACCAAGGCCTTTCTTTCCACACCAGAATTAACCTCATCCACTTTAGAAAGGAACCCAAAATTGAGGCAGAGACTGATACCCTCTCCAAACACCCTAGATGGCAGAGGGTTTGGGGAGGCTCTGAGGCACAATCAGAATGTGGAGTCCACCTCTGTTTCACTCAAGGTTCCAGCACGTCTTAAGAAACTAACCTTACATACAAGGCCTAGTGGTGAGTCTGCTCTGTAATCCCAGCTACTCAGGAGGTTCAGGCAGGAGGGTCGTGAGCTCAGTGCTTATCTGAGCTACAAAGTGAGTTCAAGGCCATCCTGAAGAACTCAGTGAGACTCTCCCAAAGAGGACTGGGGATGTAGTTCAGCAATAGAGCACTTGCCTAGCATACCTAGGTTCCAGTACAGCTCAAATTTAAAAAAAAAAAAAAAATACCTAGGAGCCCAGGAGGTACATTAAATGCACAAATTTCCGGCTCTCACTGGCCTTTCTCCTTC